TGTCTTACTAGGACTTTTAGGCAAACATGATTGACGTGCAAATGAACACTGTGTCCAGCAGATGGCAGCAACAAACCACTTAGTACTCGACAGTTTTTAGAGGCTAGCAATCTCGAGTTTATTTAATCACAAAATAGCTTTCTCTAAAAGAGTTCAGAATGCATCTGGATTGACTGTTAGTCCTTAAGATCCATGAATCTCCTCCTTGTTCAGTAGGTTTATGTAAATGGTATGGGAAACAATCAAAACATTCATTCTGTACTTTGGAACAAGACGGTGTTTCTGACCTAAGGAGAAGACAAAGTCTGAAAAGGGGTAGAGAATTGAGAGCAAAAGTTGAGAACAGTGTTGAATTCTCCTACAGTGATATTAGAGTTACCATTTTTGCTTTGAAGTTCTGTGAATTTTTTGTTCTGTATAAATTTTAGGCTTATTTTGTTAGGTGTGTACTTGTTCAGATTTTGTGTGTGTGTGTGTGTGTGTGTGTGTGTGTGTGAGAATTGGACTTTCCATCATTATTTAGTGATCTTCTCTATCTCTAATCATGCTTTTTGTTTTCAGATTTCTTTTTTCCCAAATATTAATATACCTTACCAGTTTTATTTGTATTTTTCCCTTCTTTTGCTATCAACCTTTTTGATATATAGCAAATAGTTTATTTTGTTAACATTTTCAATTTGTCTTTTTCTTTTGACTAGTGAGTTTAAGATTTTAATTTTGCATTTATTGATATATTTGGACTTTATTCTGCCATTTTATTATTTTTATTTAAATTGTCCTTTTCTTCTTTTTTTTCCCCCCTAAAGTAGTTTAAAATAGTATCTCTAACTTAACCCGAAGACCTTTAGCATATTCTCACTTTTCTTCGTCTCTACAACAGTGCTTCTTCCAGTCCAGGTCAAGATAAAGAGCTTTCACTAGCATGTACATCAACTGTGTCACTTCTGACACAGTTTTTTTCTGTTTATTTCTGCTGACATTGTTTTTATAGTAAGTCTTCCTTTTTAAAAGAAACAGTGCCTTCCTGTTCCTTTCAGTCATTCTCTTACTCTGCAAGAACTTTATATAAATGAAACCATAAACATGTACTAGTTTATGTCTGGCTTCTTTTCATTAATATTACGTATTTGTGAGTTGTAATTTCTTTATTCTTATTGTATCATATTCCTTTGTGTGAAAATACTACAACTTATCTTATTGTTCATGGGCATTTAGGTTGGTTCCAGTTTCTGGCTATTAGAGTATGCACTATTGTGAAGATTTTGATATATGTTTTTATTGGTGAACATTTACTTCACTTTTGTCGTAAAAATGTGTAGGAGAGAGATTCCTAGGTTATAAGCTATGCTGATGTATAAAGATACTGTCAGTTTTTCAAAGTGATTGTGCCTGTTTACACTCCTCATTGGCAGTTAATGAACATTCCAGAAATTTTACCACCTTCTCTATACTTGGTGTTTTCTGCCTTTTTGCATTTTTGATATTCTGGAGTGAGCATAGTAGTATTGCATTGAGATTTTGGCTTATATTTTTTGATAACTACTCACAGAGCACCTTCACATATGTTTACTGGGCCATATGTCTTCTCCTGGGTTATTTGTATTTTTTCTTAATGATTTGTAAAAATTCTTCATATTTTTGGATATAAATCTTTTATTTTGTGTCAGTATGCAGATGTTTGTATGCATGTGTGTATTTACATTTTATGTACGTAGATTATATTCTCTACTGTGAATTGCTTTTGAAATCTCCTAATAATGTGTATTGATGATATAACTTACCAATTTTGATATTATCCAATTATACAGGTTTTCCCTTTCTTGTTACCAATTTTTAAAACTGTTTGTGAAGCGTTTTCACACCTTAATATCATGAATATATGTTTCATTGTTTTACTCTAAAAGCATAAAAGCTAGGTGCTGCTGTTACAGAAACGAAAGCAGACATCATCTCCTTTCTAATGACTCACAGAAGCAGCCATTCTTGATTCATAGGCAGGTCTCTTGACTCCGAGAGCTCACTTTTGCAAGCTTTACTTAATGTCGTGTAAATCCCCCTATTCTCCAGGTCTTCTTTCTTTCTAGCTCTCCTTAATATATACTACCTCTCAAGGCAATCAATTCCATGTCCATGGCTTCAGTTGCCTTCTCTATTCTCTGAGGACAATAAAATATTAAATGTCAAATATTAGCTTTATTTTATGTAAGATCCCTCATTTGCTATAACCATAGATTCAGAGTTACTCCATGAAAGTAATAAAAAATGGTGATATACTTAGCATGTAAATTTAAGGAAATTTCCCCAGTTACTCTTAATGGTTTGATTTAGTACGTGTGTTATTTTTAAAAACATATGTTGGGAAGTCACAAATGGACCTAGCCTACAGAGATTTAAATTCAACTTTGACCAGAGAGTTCCATTTTAACGTGACACTGAGTGTAAAAAACTGTCTTTTCCTCCTTACCTATTTCTCTTCCTACATTCTCTGCCCGGAGAAAGGTACAACTCTGTACCGTCTTCCCCAGCAGAGCCCGAGCAGCCCTGTTTTTCCCTCTGCTTCCTTGCTTTCACATCTTATGACCAAGTACTTCCTATTCTGTCTCCCCAATAATCACAAAATTTTTTCCTCCACTTTTGTCACTGCCACTGCCTTTAGCATCAGTCTTTCTTTAGATAGTCTCTTAATTGGTCTTGTTGCTTCCTTCAGTCCTTCCTTATTATACAGACCATTGCACACACATCTGACAGAGACTTCTCACCTTTGTATGGTTCAATGACTCAAATTTTCAGAATAAAATTAAAACCACCCCAGCATCAAATTTGGGGTCAAATAGAGGTGGGTTTATAACTCAGGTTCATACCCTGTCCAGTAGTGTGATCTCGGAAAACTGAACTTCTTAAGCCTTTGTTTGTGTATCTGCCTACCCTCATTGAGATTTGGGACTGTTTAACACATATGGTGTCTGGCATGTAGAAGGGACTTACTTCATCAGTGTTGAATGAAGAGGAGGCATTTAAAAATTCACATTAAAAAAGGTATTTTTTTTAAAGAATATGCCAATATATAATGTCACTTCCCCTCCAAGCTTGACTTCTACCTGTACTTTCTGATATGGTTTTGTCTTGTTCCTACCCAAATCTCATCTTGAATTGTAATCCCCATAATCCCCACATGTTGAGGGAGGGATTCAGTGGGAGGTAATTGGATCATGGGAGCAATTTTCCCTATGCTGTTCTTGTGATAGTGAGTGAGTTCTCATGAGATCTGATGGTTTTCTATGTGCTTGACTGTTGCTCCTTCACATGCTCACACTCTTTGGCCTGCCACCATGTAAGAAGTAACTGCTTCCCTTTGTGCTACGATTGTAAGTTTCCTTAGGCCTCCACAGCCGTGTGGAATGTGTCAATTAAACTTCTCTCCTTTATAAATTACCAAACTTCAGGTATTTCTTTATAGCAGCATGAAAATGGAACTTTTCACTTTCTGATAATCACGCCTAAGGAACTGGGGAATTCATACTACCTGAGATCAAGTAATGGCCCCAGCCTGGGCAATCATGTGACCTTGGGGAGATAACTTACCTCTCCATCTCAATGTCTTCTCTAAAACTGGTGAGGTGGTTTCTGAGGGTTAAATGAACATAGCCCACTTGGAACACTATCAGGCACATACTGCTTGCCAGATGTTCAGTATTCATTTTTATTGAGTTAGGACTGTGGTAACCCACTTTACGGCTCTTGATTTTGTATGACAAAATCATGCTTAGTGCTTTATTAGTAAAAGAGAGAAAACCTGAAAGTCCCTGCCATGGAAGGAAGAAACAGGGGAGAAAAGGAAGTTGGTAAGTTTCAGCATTTTAGGGCTTGAGGGGACAAGTTAGGTTTCTATTTTATGGAGAAGGAGGTGGAAGCAGGATGGGTCCAAGGTGTCATTCAAGACACACAGCTATAACTCTTTTTTTTTTTTTTTTTTTTGAGACAGAGTCTCAGTCCGTCACCAGGTGCCAAGCTGGAGTGTAGCCGCGGGATCTCAGCTCACTGCAACCTCTGCCTCCTGGGTTCGAGCAATTCTCCTGCCTCAGCCTCCTGAATAGCTGGGACTACAGGTGCACGCCACCATCCAGAGCTAATTTTTTTGTATTTTTAGTAGAGACAGGGTTTCACCATGTTGACCAGGATGGTCTTGATCTCTTGACCTCGTGATCCGCCCCCCTCGGCTTCCCGAAGTGCTGGGATTATAGGTATGAGCCACCACGCCCAGCCCACACAGCCATAACTCTTTAGTGAGAGTAGAGCTAGGACCCCAGGGATTGCTGTGGTCAAGTTGCAGACAAAAACTACCACTCATTGGAAGACAGGAGAAGAGTATTTCATTACAAAAGCAGTGAACCGTTCAGGTGTATCTACATTGAGTCAGCAAATAAAAGTTCAACTTGTTTGCTAATGGTAGCCACTCTGCTAACTGAGACTTTGTATAGAACTCGTAGAGGAAGATGGCTTCCAGTAATGAACCACCCTGTGTTTAGGACTAAAATGCTCAGGAAGCTGGTGGGTGGTGAATGAAAATCTTAGTCCCACTAGCACTGCAGGAGGGGCCAGGAGAGTTATGACATCATAAACCACAGGGTGGGGCAGCCCAGGCCATGGGGGAGGGATGGCAGCCAGGGTGGGGCATTGTGAGGTGTGGGGCGGGGCATTGTGAGTCACATGCCTGGGCTTCCACCTGGGCCAGTGGGTTTCAGTCTGTAGGTGACTGCAGAAGGAGGAGGAGCTCCTTTTGTACTCTCTTCAGGCAGTTGTTGTATCTCAGCGTTTGTTGGGTTCACAACCTATTAAATTAGCCAGCTGTTTCTGACCCTTCCCGACAAGTCAACTCAGGGGAGGCGGCAGGGTGCGGGCCTTGGCCCGAGCCCCAGCGCCGGCTGGGGCCTGGCTGTGGGGTGGGCAGGGGAGCAGCCGCAAGACCATCTCTGCAAGTGCAGCATAGCCTCGGCCTAGGGCAGCAGCAGTGTGTGGCCAACACTGTGAGCAGGAGGCACAGGAGGCGGCAGACAGGAGTAGAGGTGCCCCATGGGGAACATACTGACCTGTTGTGTGTGCTGCGGGGCCAGCCCCGAGTCAGACCAGGACGAGGGGTCAGGGTGTCCTCCTGAGTCTGAAATTTGTGAGGCAGCAGCTGAGGTCACGACGGCAGCAGCGCCCATCGCTGCTCCTGTAGAGCCTGCCGAGTTGACTGTTGAAGCTGGTGAGGACCCTCATGCGCACCAAATCTGTGACGGGGATATGCCTAAAGGTAAGGAGGTGATGGTGCCATCTGCCCTGGCCACCCCTCAGGCTGCTGCTGTCTTCAAGGACCCCTGGGGGGTATCCCCTACCTCAGGCTCCTTTTTGCCAGTAGCCAGCTTTTCCAGGGCTGGTCAGAAACAAAGGCTGGTTCTGCCTTGCGTTCCTTTTTCCACAGCTCTATCTTTCTCCACGGAGTCCAATTTCTTTTCTCCTCTCCTCCCAAACACCCAGTTCTTGCTCCCCCATCTCTCAGGCTGGCCTGGGACTGTTTATTTATGTCTCTTCTTGTCTGTAGCTCTGTTTATTTTTCTGTGGGACTTTGCTGAGGCTTTTTTGGAATATTCTCTTCCTTTTTTCAACAAAAACTCAATACCCCAACTTTCCAGTACCCATCTCATTCTTTTTTTGTACCTATTCAGATGGTACCTAAGTGAAGGAACCAGGTAAGTGCCTTATTATTTCCCTTGTTAAAGTAGCTAAATCTCGGGACAATTCATACTGAAATATTTGGGGATTTCTTCTTTGAAATCAGCATGAAGGTTGCCATGGGAGAGATGATAGGTTATTCTTAATGGGTTGCTTTAAGTCACCTTGATAGGTGCTTATTATTTTCTAACTGTAATTTGAACACGAAAGGAAAGAAAATGGAGTGTGCTTAAAATATTTGTGAAAGGTACGAAATGTCATGGCCAGGGCTACAGAAAAATGGGTGTTTTTTTTTCCCCCACAAGGAGTTTACCCATGAGGCTCTGATGACTTTAAAATTCTTACTTTAACACAAAATGTATCTCTAGATTTATTCTGGTGAGTTAACAGACTTTATTTACCTCCTTGCTCTAAAAGAGAGAGGTAGGGATGGTTCATGGTCAAAACTTTCAAAAGACGTGAAATGTCAATGTAGACTTTTAACGTGTAACATAAAGATTGAAGGTTAAATTGCCAGACCTTGTCTGTGGAAGAGTGTTTGCTGCCATGGCTCCCTGTTTGTCCTTCCCCCACCTGATAATAGCATCTTGTTCAAAGATAAAGTAAAACATAGGAAGCTGGAAGTCATCATTCTCAGCAAACTAACACAGGAACAAAAACCAAACCCCATATGTTCTCTCTCATAAGTGGTAGTTGAACAATGAGAACACATGGACACAGGGAGGGGAACATCACACACTGGGGGGTTCATGGTGGGGTGGGGTGTAAGGGGATGGAGAGCATTAGGACAAATACCTAATGCATGTGGGGTTTAAAACCTCGATGATGTGTTTATAGGTGCCGCAAACCACCATGGTACGGCATGTTATGGCATATATGTATGTAAACCTACACGTTCTGCACATGTATCTCAGAACTTAAAGTGAAAAACAAACAAAAAACAACTTTGGTTGGGCTCTTAGGTTTTTTCAGAGGTGGAAAAATTAAGACTCATGATGAGTGTGACTTGCTAACTTGGAGTACTATACTCACTTTTCAAGATGTTTATGAATTTCGAATAAACAGATACATTATGTGAATTGATTATACCTTTGTACACAAAATGTGTAAGTACTTGTGTAAACTAAGCCTGTGAGTGATTTTACACACCAGTTCATAGATGGGTAGTGTTGGAGGAGAGCCCAAAAAAGGCTCTTTATTTTTATTCTTTAGGATTACAATACAGTTTATGCGTACAATACAGTTCTGTGTCTTCAGAATGACATGGAAGTGACAAATATGCTGAATTTACTTTTAAAAAACTTTTCAAACTCCAGAATACATCTTATATTTTGCCTATAAAGTAGGCCTCTCTTTTAAAATGTATTGCCACCTTGATTTATTTTATGCAAAGTTGATTTTACACAACTCAAAGGGAACATTTAATCTTTTTTTTTTTTTTTTTAAATAAAAAAGAATCTATGTTACTCATGCTGGCCTAAATTCCTGACTTGGGTTGGAGGGATTTTCTTATCTCATCCCCCTGAGTAGCTGGGAGTACAGGCATGCGCCACCTTGTCTGGCTTCATCTTATGTCTATACATTCATTTCAATGGATAAGAATAAAAGTAGAGGTAGTAAAATGACCTCCTTGTAGAATAAATGAGCTGATAAATTGTTATAATGATCACATCTTTTTTCTTTTCTCTCTGTATAGTTATGGCTTTGGAGTCTGACCCTTCTGATCATCCAGAAGCAAAGCAATCTCAAGATGGTGAGACAACATTGTTCTTTCCACCAAGAAAAAGAGTGAAAACTCTTGTTTGATGAGGTGTATCATAGAAAGTGTTTAGCAAAACTCATATTGGTTTAAATTTTTAAAATTTTCACATATTCACTTGTGTTATTTTAACGTGTGATAGACTTTCCTTTAGTTATCATGGTAGCGAAAACATGTAAACTTTTTGTTTATACATTTTACCGTCTTTTTATCAACACAATTTGTCATGTAATGGAGAAGTCTTAGATTTATCTTTATGTATAACTCTTTGTCCCTTTTCCCAATGGATAAGAATAAAAGTGGAGGTAGTGAAATGGCTTCCTTGTCAAATAAATGAGCTGATAAATTGTTATAAGTGATTACATATTTTTTCTTTTCTCTCTGTATAGATATGACGTTGGAGTCTGACCCTTCTGATCATCCAGAAGCAAAGCAATCTCAAGATGGTGAGACAACATTGTTCTTTCCACCAAGAAAAAGAGTGAAAACTCTTGTTTGATGAGGTGTATCATAGAAAGTGTTTAGCAAAACTCATATTGGTTTAAATTTTTAAAATTTTCACATATTCACTTGTGTTATTTTAACGTGTGATAGACTTTCCTTTAGTTGTTATCATGGTAGCGAAAACATGTAAACTTTTTGTTTATACATTTTACCGTCTTTTTATCAACGCAATTTGTCATGTAATGGAGAAGTCTTAGATTTATCTTTATGTATAACTCTTTGTCCCTTTTCCCAATGGATAAGAATAAAAGTGGAGGTAGTGAAATGGCTTCCTTGTCAAATAAATGAGTTGATAAATTGTTATAAGTGATTACGTGTTTTTTCTTTTCTCTCTGTTTAGATATGATGTTGGAGTCTGACCCTTCTGATCATCAAGAAGCAAAGCAATCTCAAGATGGTGAGACAACATTGTTCTTTCCACCAAGAAAAAAAGTGAAAACTCTTGTTTGTTGAGGTGTACCATAGAAAGTGTTTAGCAAAACTCATATTGGTTTAAATTTTTAAAATTTTCACATATTCACTTGTGTTATTTTAACGTGTTTGATAGACTTTCCTTTAGTTGTTACCATGTTAGTGAAAACATGTAAACTTTTTGTTTATACATTTTACCGTCTTTTTATCAACACAATTTGTCATGTAATGGAGAAGTCTTAGATTTATCTTTATGTATAATTCTTTGTCCCTTTTCCCAATGGATAAGAATAAAAGTAGAGGTAGTGAAATGGCTTCCTTGTCAAATAAATGAATTGATAAATTGTTATAAGTGATTACGTATTTTTTCTTTTGTCTCTGTATAGATATGACTTTGGAGTCTGACCCTTCTGATCGTCCAGAAGCAAAGCAATCTCAAGAAGGTGAGACAACATTGTTCTTTCCACCAAGAAAAAGAGTGAAAACTCTTGTTTGATGAGGTGTCTCATAGAAAGTGTTTAGCAAAACTCATATTGGTTTAAATTTTTAAAATTTTCACATATTCACTTGTGTTATTTTAACGTGTGATAGACTTTCCTTTAGTTGTTATCATGGTAGCAAAAACATGTAAACTTTTTGTTTATACATTTTACCGTCTTTTTATCAACGCAATTTGTCATGTAATGGAGAAGTCTTAGATTTATCTTTATGTATAACTCTTTGTCCCTTTTCCCAATGGATAAGAATAAAAGTGGAGGTAGTGAAATGGCTTCCTTGTCAAATAAATGAGTTGATAAATTGTTATAAGTGATTACATATTTTTTCTTTTCTCTCTGTATAGTTGTGTCATTGGAGTCCAATCCTTCTGAAGCAAATCCTTCCCAAACAGATGGTTAGAAAAACTCATATTATCCCACATAGTAGAAGATCTCTTTCCCCTCTTGGATTTCTCTTGGGGTCCCTCTTCTACACACTCTGTCTTGTGTAAGCTTTCTCTCTTCTCCTGTTTCTCTCTCTCTCTCTCTCTAAATAAATCACTTTTCTGCAAACAAACAAACAAAAAGAAAAACTCGTATTAGTTTAATACCAGAATGACGATTTGCTTCTTGCCATGGGAATGGCATCATGCCATTCATAAGGAATCCACCGCCATTACCCAAACACCTCTCACTAGGCCCTGTCCTCAACATTAAGGGTCCCATTTTAACACGAGATTTGGAGAGGGAGACATATCCAAACCATATCAGAGCTGTATTTCCCAGTTCCTTCCAGAGACATGGGCTTCTCACACCTGGAGAGCATGGAAGCAGAAAAAAGAAAAGCTATTCCATGTCCCTCACACACTTCAGTGATAGGAATGTTTGCCTCCAAGGCCCTTCCAGCATTAAAAGCGTAGGAAACAAAGCACGGCCCAAGGCCCTCCTGAAGGTTTTATTATTCTGGCCTTTTTTTTTTTTTTTTTTGCTGTGGACACCATGTCCAAATTAGGTTTGTCTACTTATTTTAAGATTTAAATTTGGCTGGGTGCGGTGGCTCACTCCCATAATCCCAGCACTTTGGGACGCAGAGGTGGGTGGATCATGAGGTCAGGAGTTCGAGACCAGCCTGACCAAAATGCTGAAACCCCATCTCTGCTGAAAATACAAAAACTAGCCTAGCATGGTGGGGTGCACCTCTAATCCCAGCTACTCAGAGGCTGAGGCAGGAGAATCATTTGAACCCTGAAGGCAGAGGTTGCAGTGAGCCAAGGTCACACCACTGCACTCCAGCCTGGGTGACAGAGCAAGACTCCTCCATATCAAAAAAAAAAAAAAAAAAAAAAAAGAACAAACAAAAGATTAAATTTAAGATAGGTTACTTTTCAGTTGTGTAAAGACCCTGTTTTTGTTTGTTTTGTTTTTAGCGACATATTAGTAGATGACCACTATGTGTGGTTGGAGTTGCTTACAGAGATTCTGGTGCATCTAGAAATAGGTGCCTGGCCAGGAAGTAGTTCTTAGAGCTGTTAGCTCTTAGATTTTGGTATTACCATGTTTAATTGCAGAGTAGGAGAATACTAATGGATCATGGCTCATATATGCAACAGTTAAATTTTTTTATTAGCTAAATTTTTCATCTGGGCTAATTTTTGTGCCTTTTTGTACGTGAGTATTATTTCACTCGTATGTAATAAAAACAGAAAGTAAACTAGGTCAAAAAGTAAATCTAAGTTTTTACTTTTTACTTTATGAGATTTATCATGCCAGGTAGTTTAAATTATAAATTGTTGAAATTAATTTTTTAAATGGAATTTTGTGTGGTTGTACCTCGGAGTAGTCAGTAAGATGTTAACAACTACTTTTATTTTATATTATTTGTGTCAGAAGTGACCAGTTTTTTTTTTCTTTTATTCTTAGCACAAGAAATAGGAGAAAACAGTGGTACAAACCATGTAAGTAAACAGTCAAAAAGTTGAGAAATTGATAGTTTGATGTAAAAGTCTGTCTCTCTTGATTCCTTTAAATTATAATGGGGACCCAGTGGTGTTAGCATGGACCTTGTTTCGTGAATTTTCTGAATCTCTTCTACTTTCCTATCAAATTTATCCCGAAAAGTCTTCAGCTTAGTGTGCCTGCCTTTTAAGGATTGCTGACACTTAAGTTAAATTTCAATAGTCGGTTGTGGTATAAAGATCTGCTTTAAGTATTTAATCTTATTGTTAATGAAATAACCAAAATAGAAGAGCTAAGTTAATTGTCAGCACGGTCTGTTGACTTTCTGTCACAGCAGGTGAAAGCATACCTGCCTTGCTACCCCATGACCTTATTTTTCTCCCTCTGTTTCTTTCAATTGTAGCATACTTTTTAATTAACTCAGTAATACTGACATGATTATGACTATCCAAATATTATTCACTGCTGAGTTATATGTTGTTTTCACTGTGTCTCTGCATTACATATTCCTTCATCCTTTCTCTGAAATGGTTCTGAAATCTGAGCAGCACTTCTGCACTTCTTCTGGATCATCTTTTTTTCCCTAGCCTATGCTGGTTTATCCAGCCAAATACAGTAAGTAGCCTCTGGATGGTCTGTCATTTTATTGAAAAATAATTTTAATAGTTATTGTTAAATTATATTTTACATATAATTTACATTTCACATCCATTATTTTTTAGCATGAAGCTAATTTTCTGACTATATTCATTTGCCTGTTTTCTGACAGCTGATCCCTCCCCCAAGCATAGCATTTATCACATGCCTTTCAAAGATATTTTCCATCTGCTAAAATGTATCTGTTTCTCTTTGTTCTTGGTGAGTGGTGGGCAACTTTCTTTGGCCTTTTGTCATTCTCGTTCAATATAGAGTGGCTTTCCCTAGATATGCTTGATGTCTTAGACTATCTGTGCTATCTCTTGAAAGTCTTTTGGGATCTCACATAACTGCCACCTTGTGTGGGATCACCTGAGTCCTGGATTCTGTGTTTCTTTCTGTCCTGTTATCCTCTCTAGTTGTACTTAAGCACACTTTCCTGGGCAGAGATGTTTAGAGGTCTGACCAGTCTTAAAATCCTTCTTCCTTGATAGAGAGTAAACTTCTAGGTTGAATCTAAATTTTATGGTTCTGAAGATATTCTGCAATTGTGCTGTCATCACAGTGTTCTTGAATCTATTGCCATTGCGTGGCACATTATTTATAACCTGGTTTTGTGTATTTTTGGAAGCTTTTTCGGAGCCTTTCTGTCTCTGAGATTCTGAAATTTCATAATAACAGCTTGGTGAGGGATCTTTTCATTTTACTGAGGCTGCTAAGTCTGCAGACTATCTCTTTTTGAGAATGCTTTTTATTTTCTCTGTTACTTTTTTTCTGATAGCCTAGTTACTCAGACGCTAGACTGCTTAGACCAGTAGACCTGCACTGGTTTCCAATTTTTCTCCTTCAATTTTTTTCAGTTTGTCTTTTTATTCTACTTCTGGGATACGCTATGAGTTTATCCTGTACTATATCTATTGAACTTTACATATTTTTTAGAGTGTTTTAACATTTTTAAAAAAGTTTTGCTCTTGATTTTGACTGGTCCCATGAATTTTGTGTGTGTGTGTTGTTTCGATCTCTCTTGTTGGAGGCTTTTCTCTAATGTGTGGTGGTCCTTGGCTTGCTTGCTTTATTTGGAAGCAGGACTTCTGTTAACTGATTACACTCAGTGTAAGGTTGTGGAAGCAACTAGCTTCTCATTTGGGGGACCTCAGTGTATTATCTGGGGATCTTTATTCGAGACAGTTCAGTTTCTTAAGAAGGTTCTCTCAAGTTTCTGCCTGGCTACTTGCTTTCTAAAAGCAGAGTTAAGGAAGAAAGTTGGAGTTCCATTTTTGGTATATAGTTTTCTTCATATCTCAGGTTTAATCTATGGTAGTTAGGAGTCAGAAAATCTCAGGTTTGGTATATCCAGGGAACACACATCTAAGTTTCTTATCAGATGGGAGAACAAGTGGATGTGGGTCTCTAACCACAGATTTTCTACTGACCTTGCTGGCTTTGTTTAAGATTTTGCACTACTTTTCAAAGTTCTATTTGCCTCTAAGTTCACAGCCCACCTTTAGTTCTGCAAGACAAACTGTTTGCTTCTGTTCCAGTCTCTTTCTCTTTTTTTTGAGGTGGAGTCTTGGTTTGTCACCTGGGCTGGAATGCAGTGGTGAGATCTCAGCTCACTGCAGCCTCCGCCTCCTGGGTTCAAGCAATTCTCTGCCTCAGCCTCCTGAGTAGCTGGGTTTGCAGGCACCTGCCATCACACCCAGCTGATTAGTGTATTTTCAGTAGAGATGGGGTTTCACCATCTTGGCCAGGCTGGTCTTGAACTCCTCGGCCTCCCAAAGTGGTAGGATTATAGGCGTGAGCTGCCTTGCCCAGCCTCCAGTCACTTTCTGTAGGCATCATAGTTGTGCTTCTGTGTTATTTACCACTCCTTTATCCACTTTTTATGTCTCAGCATTTATTAAAAATTGTCTCTTGTCAACCTTCTCTTCTGGTCCTGTGTGTAACCTTTATTTTGTGACTAATGAGATATCTAGAGGGAGAGGAAATAAATTTGTGATCAATTTATTATATTTAATCCAAATTTAGGACCTATATTTAAGTGTAAATCAAAGTTTAATTTCAATATCATTAATGATATTAACCCAGACAATATTTTAGTAATGTATCTATAATAAGCATATTACAATTCTCTTCTAGGTCTTGTTTGATATTTTCATTCAAACTTTATACACTGTCATATTATCCCATTACTTCACAACATAGATGGAGCTGTTTTAATGAATGCTCACATTGTTAGAAATATTTAAGTTAATTAAGATTTGTTTATTTTTAGCCTGGTCAACATAGCAAGACCTCATCTCTACAAAATGGTCAAATAAATTAGCCAGACATGGTGGCATTAGGCCTTTAGTTTTACCTCCTCAGGCAACTGA